TTTTCAGTCACCATTGAATCTTTAAATCCTGAATGCTATGCTCTAGGCAGTTATGCAAAAAACTGAATACAAAACTGAGAACCTGTTTGTAAATGTTTTTTATTTGTGCTGTTTAAAATGGGTTATAAAAGACACCTGTTGTTTCTAAAAGCATCTAGAGGCTGGTTCAGTTTTCAGCAGATGGATGGATGAGCTTGCTTCTGAGAAATACCAGTCTGTCACTTCACCGAAGGTGATGGAATTCTGCATTCAAGACATTTTAGGATTGCTTTAAGAAAGTGATAGATTAAAAGGATGTTTTTCGTTCCAGTATTTTGTCTGCAAAAGAAAACTAACCAGTCAGCAGTATTTGTTTCAATCTCTGTTATGCTATGAATGACTATTTTAAGAACTTGCCCACAGATATTTTGATACTTTAACTAATTTATTTAACAAAATATGCAAAAATGGGGGAAAGAAATGTATGCATTTCCTGGACGTGCTAGGTTCACCAAAACTAGTGCTTGACTGTCTTTGAAGTGGAGTGGCTTGAAGGCTGTAAAGTGGACATTTAAAGAAATTCAGTTTAACTATCCATTAGCTATCCACTTAACATTCTGGAGGGGTGTATGATGCATTTTGTGTATGATTTTGAGAGCAAATCTACTTGAGATCTGGGTCAAAATGATTAGAAATTGGAAGATGAGTAGGGAAATAGTCCCAGGCACTTGTTTTAGACTCACAGGATTTGTATTTTGTGGTAGGCTAATTCAAAGTGTGAAAAAGATCTGTAAAACTACAGTGACATTAACAAATACTTATAATTTTAAATGAGGACAGATTTTCTTTGTTTTATTCACTTTTTTTAAATTCGTGTCTGAACCTCTTGCCTGAGAGCCGGGCCAAATACCTGTGCATTCCTGACATAAATAGCAAGTCAAAGCTTCTCAAATTAGAACAAATAAAATTCAAATACCTGAGACTCTTTTTACTAATACGGAAATGGTCCTTTGTTACTGATTTATAACCAGAAAAACAACATGGAAATTCCTTGCAAAGAATAAAATATTTGGTAGTGTAACTGAATAGATGTAGACTAGCTGGATGATTGTGTTCTTCACTTACAACCCACAGCCATCAGGGGCAAAAGCCCCTTTAGATACAGTAGTACCTTATTGTATTATTGGCCCTACTGTGCCCTAATGTTTAAGTTTCTGAACGAAAAAATGTAGTCTGTAGCCACGTCTTAAGTACCTAAATTCCTCTTTCAGTTCATTGCAAGACTGCTAGGAGTGGAATTCAGAAAAGGCTTTGTGCTTCCATAGGGAGGATGCTTGCACAAACCAGAAGGAAATACCGCAGAATGAGCCATACATCTTAAACTGTGCCCCTCTTTGGAGTGTATATGAGAATAAAATTCATAGCTCAGTTCTTCTGTTTTTACATGCCAGATATTATGTCTACACCATCAGTGAAGATACCCGTGAGCCAATTTTGGAAGCAGAAGCATGTGCGGTGAGGTTTGTGTAATCCAGCTTGGGTTTGGCAGCTGTGTCAGTGTATGCCAGCTAGAGAATGTCACCAGAAGTACTGCAGGTGCAAGGTTTCCTGTGTTAGGGACTCAGCTCTCTTGTCCTGTATGAAAACAATGCAGGGCATACACAGGCCAATATTTTCCTTTGTTTGATCCCGGTTTCACCCAGTCTGAAAGTGGCCTTAGGAACTAATGTAGTTCTTGTGTCACTGAGGTGGTAAACTCAGCCCTGTGTTGGGTCACATCATCTGGTTGAGGGAGGCCGTGTGTGTGTGTGCTGAGATAGAGAAAGGTCCTGCAGAAAGGTGAGCCAGCATTGAGCAAAACAAACACCCAGTTTCTGTATCTTGTCTCAGGATTTTAATGTTTCAACTCAGTGCTACACCTTAGCAAGTATGTTCTAGCTTATAGGTTCATGGCTTTTGGACCCCAACTGCTCATCATATGAAGGTTTTCTGTGCAGTAGAAGCTTCCTGGCTTTAGTAAGTACTAGAGCTCTGCATTCTGCTTTTAGAGTATAGAGCAGTCATGGACTGAGTTGTCCTTTTTTGGAATAAAAACTGATTTTTTTTTTTTTTAATCAAATGACTGCTAGTTATCCTGTTACTGCGTACATAGTTAGAATTTCTTTCCCTCGTGTGATCAGAAGTCACCCATAAATCTTACTCTTCGTATTAAACTTCATGTTTTCAGTCAATGTCAGGTATGGTTTGAGTGGACTTGCTGCAGAAGACATCTTATTGTGCCCAACTTGTGACTTCTTATTGAAATGGAGGGAAGACAGGTGGGAAACTCTCAGCCTGCCACACTGGACTCATTTCTGGGGTAATGTAAAGCAAAACTGTAGTTGTTTGAAAAATGCCATTTGTTAAATTTTAGGTGCCATGAAGCTTTCAATTGAGAAGTTAATTGGGGGTTTTAAAAAAATGACGTGTTTGCATTTATTAGAAATTAGATCTTCCTGAATCTTCTGGAAGAGCTAGGCCTCAGCAGAGCAGGAGATGTGGTTCAGTATTGTCACAAAGATACAGATACAGACATTCATGAATTTTTATTGTGCAATAAACCAGATGTCAAGAAAACAATGTGTTTCAGAGCTCTTTTAAGAATATAATTTTGAGTATTTCAATTTTATTTAGAATTGCAGTTTGGTTTTTTGTTCCTCAGAGTGCGTGTTTCACTTGTGAGATTTGGTTACGCAAGTCACATTGTATTCTCTTGGCCTGGTTTATGCTTAAAATGTAACAAGACATGATTGTTAAAAACTGTAATAAAATATTGGATCAGCCTAAGAAATTCTCTTTTGCTAACTGGTTTTCTGGAATGGTAACTGTTTCAGAAAAAAAAATTCAAATAGATTTAACTAATTACAGAAAAGCTGTGGCTAGCATGCTGCTCTGTCTCTTTTCCCATGACCTTCTAATTTTACAATTTTTTGTGTGTGTGTGACCAATTAAAATATGACGGCAGAGCAAAATAACATAGTCCAAATGCCCAGCATCTGGGATATAGAGGTAATAGTCCATGTCCTGGAATCATAGGAAATAGAGAGGGGACAAGTTGCAGATAATTTAGTCTCTCTACTTCTGCTGATGCACAGCTTTTCCTCAAAGTACATCTGTTAAATTTACTCCTCATTTAATACATTGACGTATTACTAAAATTATAGTGGTGTTTAGTTGTATCAGTTTGTCTTTTCTATTATAGAAGTAAAATTGATCCTGCCTAGGACAGAAGGGTGGACTAGATTACCTCTCAAGGTCCTTTATAGGCAGTTCTGCTGTGATTTCAGAGTTCTCACTGATCTTTCTGTACCATGTGTTGCCTTTGGATGATAGTGTTTTGCTCCATGTAGTGTTTTATATAGATATCTCTTCCCATGTATTAGAAAGAAAAAGCGCTGTTCAGATTTTGAGAATGTGGATCAGATATTTCTCTTGTCATATGAATCTTTTGAATCTTTTCTCTCCCTTCTCCCTGCCCCGATAGCTCATCCATATCAGAAATCTTTGCGCAGGAGAAATTGGTTCACATCTCTGTCCTCATTCTGTAAAAGAATGAACTAAGAAGCTGTATTTTAGAGCTCATAAAGTGCTCAACACGCTGACTGCATTCCTCTTTGTTTTATTGTTCAGTAGTGTGAAAGGGGGAGGGAAGACAGCTAGTTCTTTCTCTTCTGAGAGGAAAAAAACTTTGGGCTCACTTTTGGTGTGTCATTCTGCCACTGTATGCTTATCTGAGATCAGAAATCTTGTAAGAATGGACAGGACTTTTATGTACGAGGGCAGGATTTGCCAACAAGATAAATGAAATCAACAATAACAGTGCTCTCATTTTATGTGATGAGACCTATTTCTTTTCTGTCAGAACTCACTAGACCTGAGAAGATCTTGTGTGGCTGCAGTGAAAAGTGTCAGAATTCACCATTGGGAGTGGTTTTCTAGGTATACTGATTTAAGATGTTGGATAATTCCAAGTGCTTTGGAACAGCATCATTTATTCTTTATTATTATTCTTAAAAATAGATAATAAACGGCATAGTGTAAGGACGCCATTCTCAGTGGTTAGCATTGTTAGGGAGCATGCATTTTGCCCTGTGACTTGGTAAGCAATGTTCTGCCATTGCATCCTTTTCTTCATTGTTGTATGGACAACTCTTGTCCCAATTGCCTTTAGCTTCATAAAAAGTTCATGTGAGCATTTGATAAGTGACTGATGAAGTGTGGGTAACTTTCTGGTACCAAAATGACTAAAACCAGCTAGGGGAGTTCTGTTTCAGAGATGCCATAGATCTTTAATACTATATATTGATGAAAAGATCAAAGATGTGTTTAATTGGTTTCAAATCTGAGCAAAACCAAAACTGAAATAAAACATTTTAAATATCTGTTCTGGGGCAGAACCAGTGCTGCTGGATATTGAATACTTTCTGATGTACATACTGTTTTCCCTGTGATTTCACTGGTAAGTGTGGTTGTTCAGTATTTCACAGGGTGAATTCAACATGGAGGAACAAGCTCAATTTTCTGAAACTTTTCTTGTTGCTTATTTCTGAGCAGTTTAGCCAAATTGAAATCTGTGAAAGCAATAGGTGTTGTGGATTGTCAAGACCTCTCAGGTGTGTCTCCTGCTGTTTGGTATCTGAATAGGCCTAGAACTGTCCTCGGAGAAACCACCTAATATGCATGTAGAACAAAGTCTGAAAAATGGGCATCTCAGATCTGTACAGTAGATTTGCAGTAGATGTTTATGAAGGACTTAAGATTTTTTTCTTTGTAAATTGGCCCTGTGTGTACTTATATAGCCTTCTGTTGCTATATTCATGTTAAAAGTCTCATACTAAGTAGTATGACTTATGCATTATGAGATACCTAAAAGATAAATAAGTAGAAAATGTATTTTAAAGCTCTTACTTTTTTTGACTGCAACTATCTAATATACATTAATATTAATACATTTAGGCCTCTCTTTGTGTTTTGTTCCACAGGCAGCAGGAGCAATTCGTCCTCTAGTTTCTACTGTTATTGCCTCTGCTGCAGATGGCTGTTTAGACCACTCATTGGAACGTGCCAGGTATAGAGCGAGTGAAATGCCGCAGGCTTTCTTGTTTGATATAATCTATGAAGCATATCAACAGGTAAGACTTTGACACTTTCTAAGCCTTTTTTCCATTTACTTCAGTTTAAAAAAAAAGATAACTTTATTTCTCCTCTTTTAAAAATAGAGATTCAGTGTCTGTTTCGGATCACATCAAACTGTTTGTGTATTACTTCTCTGTAGTCTTTTGATGAAAATGCTTTATCATTCCAATTTATTCAAGTTTTTCAATTATCAAACTGCCAAATACAAGAGGGGGTGAGGGTTCTAAACTATTAGAAAGACAGATTTGATTTAATTTTTATTGCGCATTAAATAGATCACTTAAATGAGTGGGTTAATGTGTTTAAAATTAGGTATGTGTTAAGTATGTATTGTTGACTGAGAGTATCAAAGTTTTGGATGCACAGTGTAATAATGACACTATATAATAATATGGGATACAGGCTGTTCTAAAATATTGGGATAATATTAACTTGATACATTTAGGTAGATGAGTGTTTAATTTGTTTCGTGTTGCTTGTGTATAATACGTATTTTGATTAGTGGCTGAAAATAATATTTACTTAGTCTCTGTTGTAATTATCCATTTTTTCCCTAATATATTGCTTTAACATCATCTTTATTTAAGAAAATAAAAATTGTGGGTAATGTATTAAACCCTGACTCTTTTGCCTTTATCCCTCTTGAAGACTGCTTTCGTTTGCCCCACCCTGCATTCACAGTTTACTGGAAACACTCCAGGCTTTCGTCTCAGCATTCTATTTCCTTTTCATTCATCACCTTGTGGAAACGGCCTATCCTCCAGGTATCTTCCAGACTGACTGGAAGCAGAGCATTTCTTCATTTGTCACTTGGAAGGAATTATTTTTTGCTCCAGTAATGCTGACAGTCATGCTTCCCATCAGTCTTTCATTTCTAGAGTGAACAAGCCCAGATTACTGATATCTACCTTCAGAGAGTACATAGCTTAGAAATCACCAACAACAGGACAAATGCGTGGACAGGCAATGAAGAAGAAACAGTTACTCAATTGTTCAGTAATTGTTTTACTTAGAAATGTTGGCACAAATTCCATGTCATACCCTTTATGCTTGATACTTGAAGCTATTCTTAGATGCTGAAGATGAAGGGCTGTCCAAGATGAAGAACTACTCAAGCGATTGGACTAACTCCAACCTTTTTACTTCTGATGGGAAGCAGGGGGATGTTCTTGGTGTATATGGTAACACGGCTGATACTTCGAAGTGAGATTCTAGCTTGAATGTAGTGGGCATACTTGTGATAAAGGCAGCATATATGTGCATAGAACACATCTCAAGAGACAACAGCTACTGTTGGTTATACAACTGTTTGTTTCTTGTTGATGTGTATCTCTTTTGGCAAATTGCATGTTTATGTGTTGTTTCTCAAACACCACCCCCCCGCCAAAAACAAACCCCTATTTTTTTCCTACTGTGTTTGCTCTTAGTTTGCAGATACAGTAGAGCTGGCAAATACATAAAAAGCTTTTCCCCTAAATGCCTTGCTCAAAAGGCAACTATATTTGCAGTCCCTATGCTCCTCTGAGTAGTGTTCTCTTCTTGCATATGCATTCCATCAGTCGTCTTTTTTGTATCCCTGCTCTTTCAAGAACAAGCCACCAAAGTTGTTAGCAAGCAACCAAGGCTATGGTTCCTTGTCCCCAGTTCCCTTTGCATTGGCTAAATTCTGGTCATTTAAATGCTCTGTGCCTTGGAGCTCTGGGAAGGATAACACTTCACTAAACCTCTCAACTCATATTGTTTGCTAATTATTTATGTTTCAATGGTGCCTAGCTGTCCAAGTCAAGGATTAAGACTCTATTGTTCTGGGAACTGTACAAACAAATAAAAAAGATAGATAATTGTTGTCCTGAAAAACTTAGTCAAGCTACTGTAGGACAGATTTTTGTAGGGATGGATGCAGTTTATGATGCTTCCTAAATATTAACATACCCATCATTAGTTCCCACAACAACTTGGTGAAGTAGGTAAGTATCATTGTACAGATGAACAAAAAAAGATAAAATAATTTTGTTACTCATGTTGCAAGTCATTCACAAAGCTGGGAATGAAATTCAGTTTGGCTGACTCAGCATGGGATCATGATCCCACTCCTGTGTGTTTTATACAGTTGTGACCTTTATGCAACAACAGTGTAGGGA